AGCAATTTGATTTTCTCTCAATATGACATTAAATGAGAGTAGTTTACTTTTAAACAATAATCATAAGAAAAATGATAATAATGTAATGGATGTAAACAAAAATTTTATTGTATTAGCAAAAAAATAAAACTACTTCCAGTTCTGGTTATCTTATAGGTGACTTAACTAATAAGACAAGTTTCCAATCCACCATAATTCAAATAAATAAATGTGCATGACTCAAGAACAATGGGGAAAAATAGACAATAAATATATATACATAAAACTAAACTAAAAACAAAAACAAAAAAAACCTGTGCATGAGGGCCCCAAACTCAAGTTCACCTAGAGCCCCCAAATTGCTAACTCCACCACTGGGTGAAATGTGTTTAAGGTTTTAAGGTGGAGGGTACACCACATGGAGAAGAATGTTTTCCTGGAATGTACGGCTTTGCAACTTATTAGAGGTGACCCTACACCTCACAGTAAGAAAAAAACACCTATAATTTAATTAAGTTAAGGGTGCACTGTATGACTTTTTAGGTAGAAGACACCTGCTTGTCTCTATGAAGATGTTATTGTTTCGTCTGAACTGTCCCGGTATGGCATTAGACATCCATCCATTCTGCATTTACTCAATAAAACTTGCATTCTTACTGTGAGTGGGCTCGCCTCTTCTCAGATCTGAAGTGTAACTTGGCCCTGTGGTGTCACCTGCTATCTCCCTGAAGATAAATAAGTGCACTGTGGAAAATTCCACGCAATATCTCCATGAAGAGAAGCAGGTGACGGACCTCCACCAGAAAAGTTACACAGCTTTAATGCAAGATCAATATGTATAATAGCATACTGTGGAATATTCCAGGCAATAACATATTTATGGAGACGAGCATATAGTGTAATCTGAAAAATTAAAAGGTGAATACAGAAATACTCCTGGTTTTATTTCTTTATATTATTTTAGACTTACTGTATGGCTGCTTTTATTGTGCTTTCATTTGCTTGTTGTTGTGTACAGTGCACTGGCTCCATAAATATTTATAATAGGGCAGATAATCCAATCTTACTGATAGCAATGTGGTAATAGCACAAAGGAGCTCTGGTGACTACAGGGATTTGAAGCTTATCGCCTCCACTAAAAGCATGGATAACCCGGAGCTACTGTCTCTTAAATACAAGCCTTTCTGCAGTCTACAAAACTTCATAGGCTCAAGTGCACTGTAAAATACTGCACCAAGATCGTATACTATCAAAGTCTATACATCTGAGCCAGTTCAATGTGATTAATGGCCTTTCTTGAGTGGGTGAACAAATATTAGGCGGTAGAGCAATAACCTGTGATGTAGAAAGTACTTTTTTATCCTAAGTCATCTATAATCATTTTAGCTCTATGCTGAGAAAAGACCTTGAGTTCATACACTTGCACCAAGAGACAGAAAAAAGCAGTGAGGAGATAAAATAGTAAAAATAAAACACTGAATAGACCTTGAGCAAGCTGAACATGATTAAGAAAACATCGTAAGAAATAGTTTGTTGATCTGCTTCTATCTTGGAAAACCAGTTCATGGAGGGTAGATTTGAAATGCTTGCTACTGAAATAATTTTTGGTATGAATATAAACATGAAAAGAACTAGTTTTGATCTTTACTTTAGTGTTTAGCTTACTATCATTACTGTATTTGTTTTTCCAGGATTTGGGATGTCAATTTATCTGGTTAATCATTATTTGTTATTATTCAGGTATGTGGGAAAGATGGACTGGCGTGGGTAGTGTTGTGTTTTAGTTTTAGTTTTTCCTCGAGTAAAGCAGAAAATAGAGAGCCACTGTCTGTGCGAATGTTCATGTATGTTATATGAATATGAAAGTAAAGACAAAAGGCAAAGCAAAGCAAAGTAATTTAAAGCTACAATCTGTGGTTTTCTGTTCAACCTGGTCCTGTTGTATTCTCATGTACCACCACAGATGCTATTTTACTGCAGTCTGATAGTGTGATAGCTTAGCCCTGACAGAAGACCAGAGACCACAGGTGAGCCAGGGGCCAGGCGAGGGGAGAGTGGGCAGGTTTCACATCTGTCATCTACTGGTTAAAAAAAAAAAAAATCTATCAAACTTACCGATAGTAGCTTTAGACGTCCTGTTTGACTCTTGTGAGCTTTAAGCCATGTTATGTTGTTACCTCATCAACCCAGAGTTATGTTTTGTTTCATTTACACATGTTCCTTTATTATTAGTGTGTAGGGGTGTGACGATATCCAAGTCTCACCATACAATATTGTCATGGTATGAACCTCACGGTACAATATTTATTGCGATATTGTGTGAAAGCTCACAATATGGTGGGGAGGCTCACGATTAGAGATGTAACAATGGCCAAATCTCTCTGTGCAATATTTTCACAATACACATCTCACGGTACAATATTTACTGCAGTATTTTGTGAAGGCTAACAAAACTGTTAAAATGCTAATTTTCCTCTTAAAATGCCTTGACAAGACTAAATTCAAAGAAATAAGACTTAAAAATGCTTACAACTGTTATTTCTTCTTGTAGTCTGCACTAAAATGGAGCAAAGGATCATGGTCTATACAGTTCCCTCTGTCTTTTTTTTTAACTATTGCTGCACCGTAACTCTTAATTTTAACAGAGACTTGTAATTCAATATATTGTGATGGTCCACGATATTAGTGTGAAAAATTTGACAATACGATATCACCATATTTCAGTTATTGTTACATCCCTATTAGTCTGTCTACATTTCCAAAGCTCAAAATGCTCTGTTCCACCTTGTGATGCAATCAAGTGGTAGTTTTCAAGTTAACAGTTCCTTTTACTTTTAGTTCAGTAGAGTTTGGCAATTCCAGGGCTGAAATTACCCAAATGATTCTAGTGAAGGTGTATGGAGTTTAAAAACACAGTGGAGCACTTCCTGTATTATTATCACAGAACACCACAAGGTGGAACAGCATGTTTTTTGTGTGTGTTTATATGTTTTTAACTATTCTAAATGTATAATTATATATAAACAGCAGAAGAAAACCATTAATTCTGTCTTTATAATAAGTTACATATTCAACCCTCTACAACTCAAATCGAATTGTAGTATGAAAAAAATATAAAAGGTCCCCCACGACTACAAAGAAAAAGTGCCTATGATATCTATCGACCCCTAAAAACTATAAAATAGTAATTACCGTGACAGGCCTAATAGCTGGATTTCAGTTGACATCACAGCTTTCTATAGGTCAATATTTATGAATACAGATAAATGAATACATTAATACTGAAAAATTATGTTGTAATTCAATGAGTTCTTGGGTTTAGTTAATATTTGAAAATACCAGGATTAACATTTGTGAATTCACCTTTTGGATATTTCATGGTAAAGATTAGAGCCCGACCGATATATCGGTTGGCCGATATTATCGGCCGATATGGGCAACTGGAGCCATATCGGCTATCAGCCGATATGCTTGCTGATAGGGGCCGATATTTCACGTGGGCATGTGATACGTCGTTAAAAATCTTAGACTCTCTACATTCTGTTCATTTAATCCAATTTACAGACAGATAAATGTCCTAATATGTGGCTCCACATCAGTATTTATCTGCGGAGTCATTTGTCTGTGTGTGAGTCCGTACTGTCTCTGAACACACCCCCAGAGTCACGTACTGTCCCTGAACACCCCCCCCGAGTCGCGTCACTCACGTGTGTTTGTTTACACCTGCAGACACAGATCCAAACACTGAGATTATATTATTTTTACGGACAATCGGTTTGAGTCTGGATTAAAAGGACATTTATTAGTGCAGATTTGTGATGTGGGAGGAGCCTGTATGAGTGGTGAGTGTTGGAAATATGTCGACTTTGAAGCTAGTTTTGGTCATTTGTTAGCGGTTAGCTGCTGTAGCTCCCGCACATAAACAGGCTGTTTTCTATTGGCCGATTGTAAATTGACTACATTGGCCGTATATTTGTTACTGGACCTGCATTGATATGTAAATGAGCTGTGAATAGACGTGTGAATGATGAAATTTGCGCATATAATTAATTACCGCGGCGCGCAGCATTTACGGCTAAAGGCTAATAGCGCTAGCTTCTTTACTAGTGATGGGTCGGTCGCGGACGAAATGGCTTTTAGAGCCGGCTCTTTGAAGCGAACGACGGGAGCCTGATCCTTATTGGGAGTCGTGCTTTCTCTTTCTCTCACTTTTTTTCTCTTTACGCTACATGCAGACTCGTGGTAGTTTGACAGCGGCAGCGGCGAAAAGTGAAACTTTGAGAAATTTGCGTGTACATAGGATAAAAAAAACATGCATATTTGGCTGTAGTTTAGCATAAAATAAATAAACCAGGACTAATCTTGGGCACGAGATACAGACCTAGTCCTGACTGGTTCAGTTTTGGTTTAGTCCTGTTTTACACGTGGTCTAGATCTGTTTTAGTCCTTTTTCAGTCCTGGTTTAGACCTGGTTCAGGCCTGATTCAGTCCTGAAGAGCCGCTTGGGAGCCAAAAGAACCAGCAGCTTTTAGTGAGTCAAGCCAAAAGAGCCGGTTCTCTAAAAAGAACTGGAAAACCCATCACTAGTGTCTAGAATGTGATGCAAAAATGCCATTAAGCCAACCTACTGTCTGTAAATATGATGTAAAGAGGCAGAATAACAATAAATGTTGCCTAATTAAACCCAATTTAAAATCCAACAAAGCCAAACCTAAGTTTTTTAAACAATTCAACATTTACAGTGAATTTTTACATCACTAAATATATCGGCGATTATATCGGCTATCGGCAGCGCCAACTTGCATTATATCGGTTTCATATCGGCCACAGCAAAATCTATATCGGTCGGGCTCTAGTAAAGATCAATGTAATCAACAGGAAAAACAGGCCCTTACCCCCTGTTTGGAAGTATGGAAGTATCACATTTTAGAATCTGAAAACTACCAATAGGTACTACTATAAAAAATGAAAGCCTAACAAGTGGTATTCCCTATATTTGGCAGTAGTGTTGTACAAATTACCTTGGCCACTCTCTGTGCCACCTCTCGCCCCACAGAGAGCCCCTGAACAAATGTGCGTGCGGCGATGAATGCGCGCGTAACCTGAGCCTTCAGCTTCCTGGGCACGTCTCCAAAGGGTTTGAGCTCGTCCGTGTACTTGCTGATACACTCCAGATAGTCCTCCGTGATGACATACTGTGAGTTGAGCAGAGTGAACATGCGCTCCAGCAGTCGGGACCAGAAGTCATTAAGCATCTCCTCCAGGTTTACATTCCCCCCGGTGTAATATCGCTTCAATTCAGCGAAAAGGTTCTCAAACACCTCTGAGTTCTGCATGTAAGGCTTGCCGTAGGTCTTGACAAACATCTCATTGAGGGAGCGCTCCGTGTTCTCCAGCAGCTCCAAGAAGAACTCTGTTGGGAGAAGAGGAGAATAAACAGTGAGAGAAATGAACTGCGCTATTTGCATTGTAGCTCACAATTCTAAGCATGATCCCAAATGTGATGATTAAAATGGGAATGCAGTGTGTTTGCTGCGATTGTGCAAAAGACAAACAAGATCTAGGTAGAAAAGAAAGTCAATTTGGCAGTACCAGATTTTAATATCTTGATTATTGTGTACACAGCAGATGGAAATGAACAATATATCTTTTTTTGGAACGCGATGAAATTATTGCGAGCAGTTTATGCAGTGAAGATGGTCTGGGTTTCAGCTTTGTGTTATACGCAACAGTTTGAGGACTTTTTACCTTTCAAAATATACAGATTTCAATTGTTAATCACTATGGCAATTGTCCTAATCTTCTATAATTTTGAAATGTATAGATTTATAGAATATATCAAACAGTATGTGATATATATACCCCTCATAATCCCAAATGAGAATGGAGAACATAAAGTACAGTAATGTTAAACAAAATATCCTATATTACGCAAAATGTATTTGTTTGAGTTTTAAGCCATGTTAGAATGTGGCTACCTCCTCAGAAACATACCTGGAGTTGAGTTTTGTTTCATTCATATATGTTTGAGTAATCCTTTATTATCTTTTACCTTTTGTTAAATAGAGAAATTCCATTACCACATGACATCACAAGGTGGAACAGAGTGTTTTTCATTTGAGAGAAGAACTCAGCGTTAATATACAGGGTATGCGTGTTAAACATGTGACAAAACACAACTCCAGGTATGTTTGTGACAAGGAAACAACATTATAACATAGATCAGAAAACAGCATCATCTGAGCCGTTTAACTCATTTATAAAAGTTTTCCTCCAGCTCCGAACGAGCTAATGATTATGATGACTGATGGTGTAAAAAGCATTCAACAAGTGACTGAAATTCTGCAACGTGAGGCATCCCTTTAAATAATTTCAGGATTTTGGCTCTAATATAACTCCTAGCTTTCCTTAAAGGCATCAAGCATTCAGTTTGTAATGCATTGTCTTTCACTGTGTGCATAATAAAGATTCATTATGACAGACTTTGTTTGCCAAGTTTCCAGCTGTTTTGCATATCCACTTTAGGCAAGTTTCATTTGCTTGGTGACCCCTGTGACTCACCATAAATTTGCAGAAGATAATACTGCATATCACACCATCTGCTATCCATAATGATAGCCCGATCTCTCAAGGACCAATATTAAAATTAAATAGCCTTTCAAAAAACCTGCACATCCAAGAATAAAGTGTAATAGTTCGGGACTATCTGTGGAGTTTCTGAAGGGTACCAAAGATTATGGGATGATTATGTGATAAGTCAGAGCCCACTAATTGAAAGAACAGTGACCACAGAGGCAAAGCCATACTCATAAGAGACTTGAAAAGTGGCAATAATTAAAAATAATGAGCTTTGAGGTTGTAACAGCATGTCAGCTATTAATACCTTGAACGTCATAGCTAGTGGCGAGGTCTCCAGTCCCTCGGGCACATATTGTTAACACTGCCCAAGACATTATAGACTTAATAGGCTGCATGCCCAGTTTTAGCTGCGTCAAGGGGAGCCATTTGCGCGAGGGTCACGTGATACGCCACCGCCTCGTCTCCGGTAAAAGATCCATCACAGCGTGCTCAGAGCTGTGCACATTAAAGCCACTTATGAGAATGGCACGCAACGAATGTAATGGATTCTAAGTGGTCATTAGCGCAGGTGAAATTACAGATGACAGAAAGGGAAACAAAATGGCAAATGTCTGATCTGGTACCTGACCGCCAACATCTATGAAGTTACACAGAAATACATTCAAGCTGAAAATACCAAGCACTACTACATATTCTTTAGGGGTAGAGCTGGAGCTTTGCAAAGTTGGGATGACACTTCTGCCACAACAGATGGAGAATGTTATGCTACATTTCAGAGGTGCTAAGTTTAACTCAAACTTGTTGTTGTGAGAAGGAACGGTAAACATGACAGCTTGACATATCAGATCCTTTGACTTCATTTTTGCGCTATTGGAATTCATAGTGGCAGTCTTATAGGAGTATATTTAGCTTCAGATGCAATATTACAAAAATTATGATTATTATATGTTCAGACAATATTTATGTTTCTATTTATTTATATGCTCAATTTTCAGAAGAACAGCTCGATGCTCCATCCTACTTACTGTATCTCAGACTGCAATGTTCCCTTGCCAAATAAATTAAACAGTGTCAGACTACGTGCTATTAGTATCATTTATCATTCATTAATTTTTTTTCTATCAATTGTTGGTGTGTAGAAGTAGAATGGATCATGATATCATCTTTGAAGTGAGTCCAATGTACTACAATGATTCCACTAATGCACTGACATCAACTTAAAAGTACTAAATCAATGAATAAATAAGCAGCCCACATTAGGGCCAAAACTATGAGGTAATTATGACTCACACACTGAATATTGCATTACTGTCAGACAATGAAGTACCATATATAGTGTAGTATACGTCAAATGGCGGTACTGGCAGTAGACAGGGCTCAGGAGAGAGGAGTCCCATTAGGTCACATTAAAGACACTTTTGTATGATTACATTTTTTTCTTCTTCTGATCATTTCAATAGCTTGCATTCATGTAACATCATTACCTGGCCAGACAGAACCACACGCTTTGAAATAATTTTACAAAGACGAGTGAATCTGGAGCTGTATCCTGTCTCCCTGATTTCAGAGGGAGTGACTGACAGGCAGATTAGCCAATCAGAGAGAGGCATCAAAAACAAACAGGCTGCTTACACACAAAAAAAAGGAGAAAAATCTACATAAAGGACTGAGAAACTGTGGATTTTTTACCCAATACTAAATTAACTAGAGTTTAAAATTGAGCTGTCAGAATTCGATGATGTAATTTGCTATTAAACTGTCAGAGTGCAGATTTTTTGATAAAGTTTAAAATCTTCTCTGTCAATATAAATAGACAAAAGTATAATTATTTTTGTTTACAATAGCCTCAGAAAGGGGTATCATTTTTCAACGCTAAAATCGGGATTGTTGTCAGTTGAAAAGACTTCATTTTTGGACCCAATTCCTAACAAATAATGATAAGTTTCTACATTTGGAGATTTCTTTCTTTGGACATTTCATTCAAAAACAGCAAATCTCCCCTAGAGCTGTCCATCATCTGAAATGTTGACTTAATCAAATTGTAAAACATGAATGCAATGTACATTAAGTCAAATAATGCATACATAAATAGCAGGTACATTTTTATTTTGATATGGCATTCATGCGATGTAATATAATTCATGTGTGACTAATTTTAACTTTAAATATTTGATACACTCTTGTATTTGTCATTTATCATTTCATGTTTATACATTTCTCAACATGACACTGATGTCAGCCTTTAATTGCAATGATAATTTGATGTGTTTAAATGACCATTTTTTTTTGTTTCCATTCGTTTTTCAATTTGACAATGATCTATTTTTTAAATCAATTCCAGTGTTTTTTATTTAATTGCTCACTGTTTCAATTAAAATAGAATTAATTAACAGCATAAGTGGAAAAGCAATCAGTTGTTAATGTATATGTATTTGACACTTATTAAAACATGGTTCATTAAATTAATTAAACAGAGAAAAGACCATGACTACTTATGAGTGCAGTAATTACTCCAACACCAGGCTCCAAGACACAGTGGAAGGGAATATTTAGTGAAATATTTGACAGTGGGAATAATTGAGGGAGCTGGTATAAATATTTAATAGAATTACTAATTAAGACGTCTGTCCGATTGAATGTCTATGAGGGCTTAAGAGCTAAAGTAATAATGCAGGAAGGAGCTATTCCACTAGGGCTGCAAGATTAATCGCTGTCAAATCGAAATTGAAATTTGCGTGGACGTAGCAAGCAAATCTCTAAGACTGTAATTTTTTTATTAAATGATCCCATATGACGCTGTTTTCTGATTTACGTAATAATTTCCTCCTTGCAAACGTACATGGAGTTGTGTTTTGATTCATTCACACATTTAACACAAATTCAGCATTAGAATAAGTTGGATAATTTCAGTCCTGGAAGTGCCAAAAGGTAAAAGGAGCTATTAATTAGAAAACTACTACTTGATGACATCACAAGGTGCAACAGCATTTTGAGCTTTGGAGGTGCAGAAAGACTGATAATAATGGGCTACTCAAACATGTGAATGAAACAAAACACAATTCCAGGCATAATACATGACCTTTAAGTGCCATGATTTCCTTCACAAACAGCAAAATCTGTATGTTTCATTCTGTATAAAAACTACAAACCCTGCAGTTTAGATCTGTATAAACATGTTTTGAAATTCATGAATGAGTCAGTTCATATTTCAGTCTTCTTCTGGATGCGTGTAAAATAAGAACTCTGAAGAGAATCCTATTATTAAAACATAAATCGCAAATTGAATCGCTTGTCAGTTTTCCCAAATCGTTCAGCCTTAAATTACATTAGTCTAACTTGCACAGACTTTAATGATAGATGGAAGTAGGTAGTAGCCCTCTTTGTGTGCTGAGGTTACCACACATGCTGGTGATAAAAAAACAAATGGTGTGTTTTTGAGGCTGTACAGCTGTACGTGCTCACAGAACAGGCACTGATGGATGCTCTGTAGGTGTCACACGTGTCAGTAGTCTCTCTCCTTCACATGTCTCAGAATGCCAAGCTCCTATTTTAAATCATTGAGCACACTGATGGGAAAAAGGCAGACTGCGTGCTTTACATTTAGAATGGGAGCTGTCTACTGTGTGAGTACATTCACTGTACTTGAAACACCTTCGGAGGATACCTGAATGAAGACAGTGGAATTCATTATTGATGCGACCAGAGACTTGACAAGCCCTTAGCACTGGATCTCCGCCAAGTTATTAGTACTACTTGCAATAGACTTATAGCATCTAGACAAAATCCATTTGTTGAACATTACACTTATATTGTAGATTTGTCAGAAGTGCGAAT